GAGGATTGCTTTGCTTTCTAACATCTCTTTCTGTTATCAAAATGCTCTTTAGCACTAGGCGTCTAGTAAGCGATAGCTATCGCTTACCTAGACAAAGGCCGAAGCACCACAGACACACTTCAAGCACAAACTCGTATTTGTAAATAAATCTAGTTAGAACGGCCTCGGCCAAAGTCTTACATAGCCTCGAGCTCACTAGACTCTAATGGAACAATAATACAGGCGTATTATGACGCATTCGAGGCGAAGGCGATCTATTGATCTTGGGTGAAAAGATCCTGTAGTAGGTGAGAGGCAATCGCGGTGCTTCTGGTCGCCAAGGGTCTACCACGCGGCGGGGCCTCCTGATAGTGGGTGAGGCCAAGTCGAGGTCACTGCTTTCGTATCCATCTTCACCATAGTCAGTCAAGTCGAAGTCGCTGCCTTCATACTCATCTTCATAAGAGCCATCAAAGTCGGTCTCGCTGACTTCGGTAGATGCGAGATCGGAGTGTTCGTAATCGTTGACAGCCTCGCCGTTGGCAGATTCGAGGGGTGTGTCCACACGGTCCTCGTTTGAGTGGATTGCAGAGTGCCGGCTCAATGCATTTGGAGATTCGGAACGCGGTGGAGTATTCATAGCTTGGATAGTTCGGACTCTGGTGTGAATCTTTGGATGAGGTTATTGCTTCTGAGTTTGTTGTTGAATTGTGTTGAGGTTTGTATGATTGAATGGGAGATTAGGTCGAAAGCTTTTTAAAGCTGTTGGAGAGAGGGTATGTAGAGGCGACTCTGTACACTCACAGTTATGTATGGTGGATATACTTAGTCCTTACATGGGCCATTTTCTCTACAACGTGAGCCTACAAGTCTAAGTATATTCAGCAACATTGAACTCATGAGAGGCTAGGAAGCGTTCTTGAGCATGCAGTGAATCATGTTTTCACATATTGCTTGTTGCTTGCAAAACGCGTTCTTCAGTTTTCGTACAAACTAGGATGAACAAAGACATTGTTGCGCAACTTAGCGTGTAGTTCATCATTGTAATTTCTACCCTTGCTGGGTGCTTTGGCGTAACTGTTTGTATCCGCTGATGCTGCTGAGCATGCAGTTCCTGCTGAGATTAGTTGCCAATCCCGCAGTGGTAGTTCTCTGCTGTAAACATGTTTGCTTAGCCAAAAACTATCGTCTCAACACATGAATAAGGATGTGGTGAGCCATGGCTTAGGTCCAGCGACAAGGGGCGGAACACCTCTAACTCGAGCCCGCAGCCTCGGGATTGAGAAAGGAAGATAATAGGTAGAGAAGCGAAATATGTGATTGGTTTTCTTGCGAGAAGGCCGACTGCGGGCAGAGACACGTATCCGGGGAATCCAAGACAGATGCAGCAACTGAGTCGGCGGCTTAATGGGCCACGGCTAGTAAGTAGTTGAGATGGGGCTTGCCAAGCCATGACCACTCTACGCGTCGACGCGTCTGCCCTGTCCACGCTCCACCAACTTTTGCGTCCACCCCAGAATATTCACAAACCACCCGACCAATGGCGCTTCTAGTAGACAAACATCGGCCGCGCAATCTGGATGCGTTCAGCTACCATCCTGAACTTTCCGATCGCTTACGAGCTCTAGTAAGTAATTCAGCAATGGCACCAGCATTCTGGAGTGCATCTAACAGATGGCACTGTAGGCACAAAGCGGCGATTTCCCACATCTCCTTGTATACGGTCCCTCTGGCGCAGGCAAGAAGACGCGCATTGTTGCGACGCTCAAAGAACTCTACGGCCCCGGTGTCGAAAAGATTAAAATCGATGCGCGCGTCTTCCAGACCACCACGAACCGCAAACTTGAATTCAACATTGTCGCTTCCGTCTACCACCTCGAGATCACGCCCTCAGATGTCGGAAACTATGATCGAGTGGTGGTGCAGGACTTGCTCAAGGAGGTTGCGCAGACACAACAAGTTGACCTGAGTGCAAAACAGCGCTTCAAGGTTGTCGTGATCAACGAGGCCGACCATCTGACAAGAGATGCACAGGCAGCGTTGAGGCGAACCATGGAAAAGTACAGCCCCAACTTGCGATTGATCTTGCTGGCGAACTCGACAAGCAACATCATTGCCCCAATCAGGAGTAGAACGCTGCTTGTGAGAGTTGCAGCACCTACAGAGACAGAGATCTGTGATGTGCTGAGCAAGGTGGGCAAGAAGGAGGGGTGGAAGGATGTAGAGAGCCTACACCAAAGAATCGCGAAAGAAAGTGGTCGTAACCTCAGGAAGGCTCTCTTGATGTTTGAATCAGTGCACGCGCAAAAGTACGTCTATTTCTGCACGCTCACCCGCTTCCACTAACACTCAATCAGTGAGAAAATTACAGATCAAACACATATCCCACCTCCTGACTGGGAAGCGCTCATTGAGCAGATCGCCCGGCAAATCGTCGAAGAGCGGTCTCCACAACGTCTGCTTCAGGTTCGCGCCTCACTCTACGACCTCCTCTCGCATTGTATCGACCCTACGACCATTGTCAAGACACTCGCATGGAAACTCATACCAAAGACGGATGATGCACTGAAGCCAGAGGTTATCAAATGGGCGGCTTTCTACGAGCATAGGTGTAAGATTGGATCGAAACAGATATTTCAGATCGAGGCATTTGTTGCAAAGTACATGCAGTTGTATGAAAGGTGTGTAAACATACGGTTGCCAAATCGTATATGAAGCTAACACTTGTTGCAGATATGCCATGGGCCTAGATTTTGATTCGGCTTAAAAGGAGGTGGTAATTTGGCTGTACAGTATCACAAGAAACAGATAGATAGGACATCGGGCATTGCTAGATTTAGCGTGAGGTGTTCTGGCGTTGTTGAGCGCGTTCGCGTACCGGCGTTTGGTAGTTACGTCATAAGCTATTATCAAGCTACCCAAAGACCTCGAGCTTTCGAGCTTCCGCTTCCCTACATCTCCATTGCACTTACATTTTTCCCCAGTGAAGACCTTCCAGCCTCTCGATTCAACTACGACCCTCAAGCCAATATGTCAAACAAACTCATGGATACTGAAGCTGGCGGCGAGCAAACCCAGTACGAAGGCATCCATACATACGTCGAACCGCACGACAAGAAGTACGGTCAATTCAGTGGTACGTTCAGCATCAGTCTCAGTATTCATCTCACAGCTTCTCGTGCCCTTCGCATTGTCATCACCCCATCCCACAATGCTTACATGGCCACTCCACAGACTCTTCAGAAGGCACATCGGTCCACACAAAGACGGCGGACCCTGGCGCCCCAAACACACACGGCATTACGCCTGCGGACAAGATTCGCTATGGACAGAGTATCCAGGAGGGCGGCATGGGGGGCAAGACCACGAGTTCAAGCGGAGAGACGAAAGCTGAGACGGGGTTTGGAGGCACTGCGGCGCTGAGTGACGACAACGAGAGTGCGGCGAAGCAGAGACGGGAGCAAGGATATGGCGGAAGCAAAGACATGGACCGGACTATTGGTGCGTAGATCCACGGTACAGCTGTGATTACAGAAGTTTGGAGAACAAGTAGTCATAGGCTTGACTGGGAGCCCGGATCTCTCTATGTATACACTACTAGTACAATGATGATACGAAGTGAATGCCCCAGTCTAACATCTCTCGCTGTGTCCGTATCTATCCCCAAACGCCAGCGCTATGCAACAAAATCCCAACAAATAATCGTACATGGGGCTGAAGAAATGAGGAGGGATATCTGAGCAGAGATAGAACCAAGAATGCCAAAGCAAAAATCCTCCACAATGCTGCAAGGAAAAAGGGGAGACAGCCACTCTAGTTTCTCCTGCCATCGTCGCCTCTGTAGTCGCCCTTTGCCATCTTCCTCGCCATTGCCCTCTCTCTTTCCATAATACTAGCGAGCGAATCCTTTCTCTTAGCCATACTACCCAAGTCATGTGCTCCAGGATGCATCATAGGGTGCATGTCTCCTCTACTGACACCGTTCCTACTGCCACCACCCCAGGCTCCAAGGCCCCATCCTCCTCCTGCAGGCATCGCTGGCCTAGTGGGCTCGCGAGCAACAAGCGCACCAGGGCCGTGGCCGTACATGCTGACGCGCTGGACCTTGCGCAGCCTAAGCAGGCCATACACTGCGACGAGAGCACCAAAGACGGAGCACCAAGCGCTGATGCCGTAGAACCCATAGTCGGATTCCTCAATGAAGTTTTTCAGGTTCATACCGTAGAGTGCTGCGACAAAGGTACCGGCTGTTATCGCGAGTGTGAGGATAGAGAACTTGAGGTCGAGGAGCATGAGCGAGTTGCGGTTGGCGTCGAGAATAGCCTTGACACTGTAGTAAGTCAGTATTGCGGAAAGCGATTGAGAGCAACTGCGAATAACATACATCTCCTCAGTGTTCCTGATGCTGGATACCAAGTTCTCAGCCGCCTGTACAATTTCATCGGCAACTTTGTGGTACGATTCCAGGAGCATCTCGACTTCAGTGTGGTCGTCGTCCTCGCGCACCTTGCCCTCTGCCTTTTCAGTCAAGTACATGGCGCTCAAGTCGTCGTCGGCTTCCAGCAATTCTTCCAGTGCATTTCTAACCAATCTTGCCTTTTGTTCAAAGCTACCCAGTTTCTTGCTGTAAATCAGCAGGTACCTGAGCTTGTCGCGGTCGATGTCTTCTTCGAGCTCCCTCAAGACGCGCACAACTGGCTCGCTAACTCCTTCGAATTCCTTTTCCAAGCTCAGTGTCACGCTAATCAAGACGGCTTCAAGCGCTCGAAATTCGTATGCGAGGGCACCGTTCAGAGTCGATTCTTTCTGACGAAGTCGGAGGTCAAGATCGTACATGAACACAGACTGTGACTTTGAGTCGGTGGTGCCGTATGCGTCGAATACGAGGACGCGATTGTGTTTCAGCAACACCCGCAGATTGAGAAGGTTGATGAGAATCGCAGATGGTCGGACTAGAATATGAGGGAGGAGCGAGGAGTCGATCTTGCGGAGGTCGCGCGGAAGAAGACCGTACTGTCCCAGTGTCAGTTCCAAGAAAGTGACAACTCAGTTGCTTTGTGTACCTTTGCGATCAACTCGCTCTTCTTGAACTCGCCACTAACAAGCGTAACGTTGCCATGCTCGTCTAATTCCGTGCAGCGCATCTTCAGCTCGTTGGTCGGCCGCGAGATACGCCCGAGACTACTGCCAAATACTGCCGAGCTTGAAGACGAATCATCTGGTGGAGGAGGTGGCGGTTGCAATTGCGCCAGCTTCCGCATCTTCGCAGACTTGAAAATATTCCATCCATTGTTGGCGCGCGTCGTGGAAAACGAGCGATGGGCGAAGTATTCGGCATGCTGCAACGAGACTTGCGGGGTGCGGCAAAGGACAAGCGAACGGTCAAGAGTAGGCTGAGAGACCTTCTGCTCGACTAGACAGTTTGAGGTCACGAATCTTTTTCCCTCAGAGGCGCCTCTGTTGTTCAAGTAGCTTGTGATCCTTCCGAGCGACGTATTTCCTGGGTTCCGTCCTATCTGACTGACGATACTATGGCCGCGGCGCTGCCCAGTGGCGTGGGCGCATTGCGCAATTGGCGATGCCAAAACATTATTGACTTGAGCTCGCAGGAAGCTCAAAACCGAGGGCGATGGGGCGGCAACTCTCGGGAGCAGAGTTGTCTTCATAACTTTCCGGTAGAATCAACACGTATGCGGTCCCGATCCATATGGTCGTTGATGCAAATCTTTGCTCGAGCCTCGTCCGCACTTCATGGGCTTGCCGTGGTCTTGGAAAATCATTTAGCGCTAGTTGACGTCACGTGCGCCCGCGTAAAGCACTGCTGCTTGTCACGAGAACTCAACGTCCTGCATCTCTTGGCTTTCTGTCGACCAAATCCCATGGCATGTCTCACCAGGCTTACAACGCGCTCATTCGAACGCATCACATTACGTCGCGCAAAAAAGTAGCCAAGCTCAAGGCGGCCGCGTCCAATTGTCATGTTTACGCTCTGCTGCGCAGTGGTGGCTGCCCTGGCATCATGTACTGTCAAGGCTCGGAGTCCGGAGTAAAAGAATGGGTAGCCAATGTTCAGAGGCTGCGCTACAAGGATTTCCAACTTGTGAAGAAACCTGCCGCAAAAGAGGTTGAGGGGAAAGAACTGGAGAATGATGTCACATATGGGAAGCTAGAGGTGCTGGATAGCGTCAAAGATTTTGGAGCGAGGATGGAGATTATGGGGGTGTGGGGGTGGTGGAGGAAAGGCATGGGTTATGTGGGCAACGACTAGGTGTATTCACTGCTCAAATGCCTCACGATGTTTTGCTCAAGTTCCAGGAAAGAAACGGAGTTTTGTCGATACATTCTGTAAAGACAGTGCAAGGCGAGTTGTAACAATGCTAGACGATCACCGAGACTGCTAGTATCATACTTGCGACGCTCAATGAGACCAACATAGAGAACAGCCATCGAAACGAAACAGAAACCTCGCGCTACCAAATTCTAAGTCTCAGTGGACGTTGGTCGGTCCACGAGGGCCTGAAATGAGGTTCCTTCCAGCACAGAAGTAACCAGAAATCTATTTCCGAATTTCCAGATACTCCGTCCGCTACATCATCAACCAAGTCGAAGCTTCCTGCGGACCTTGACAGCCCCCTCGAGGAGACACTCGATATCTTCTATCAGAACAGCACGCTCCCAATGGTCCCCCATATCGCGGACGATGAGTGCGTATTTGGTACGAACATGGGCGTAACTACCAGTGACCAGGTGAACAGCCACAAGTGAACCCGGCAGGCCTGGAGCCAGTCTTTCGCTTCCAACAACCTCCAAGAAGATTGGCTCTCCTGTGCTTGATCTTAAAACTACCCTGTCCGAAATGACCATGTCCTGGATCTTGACAATCGGGGACACAAACGCCTCGACATGAATGAATTGGCTTGGACGGTCCTGGGAAAGCACTGCTTCGCTATAGTTGTTGAGATGATCGTAGCGCACCTGGTATTCTGACAAACTGCATAATTGGCCTGACCTAAGCTCCACCTCAAACTTTGGTGCAGCTCCTGCGTTCGACGGGGCAGACACCAGCGTCAGGGGGAACATAATCGGCCAGCGAACCACGCCATCTCTGGACGTCCAGGACCAGGTGGGAAACCCTTTTCGGGGGGTTTGCTTATTGGCACTCCAGCACAAGCTTTCTTCGAATACCAGTTCATTCGACTGAGTTGAGCCCTCGGGTGGGTTCGAGTTGCTGCCTTTAAATGGCACGCCCCAGACATGGAATACCCCTCGCGTTTCATGGAATTTGGATAAAATACCAAGCAAGGCATTTAAAATATCTTCAGGGTATGAAAGTTGGCGCTCCGAGTACTCTCCAATGCAGTCATAAACGTTCGACATGCCCAATGAGTGTTTGCTTCTTGCCACGTCTGATATCGCCCCTGAAACCCAGTCTCCTCCATGAACTACCGCTTCACTCTCAATCTTATCGTAAAGGCCAAGAAACAACTGTTTCTCTGTAAAGTACAATTGTCTTTTCGATAGCAATGCTTCTTGATAGGTCCATCCTCTTGTCGCCCAAACGCTGCTTTCTATGTCGTACATGGCAGGTATTGCTCGTAGGTAGCCGAGACCTTTGATTTCAATGCTCGGATCTGGTTTGCGCGGGCGAGACACTCCCGGCAACCCATAAGAAGAGTCGGCTCCTGCACAAGCAATGATAGTCAGGGCTGACTCGGAATATATCTTGTCCATGTGTTTAATTTGCTGTGCGCATACATCATGGCTTCCATGGATGCAATATCGATCAACCCATAGGTAACGGAAGTTTAGAGCTAAGCAAGCAGTGATGCTATCCTCAATGGTAGAAGGGAGCTGTAGTGGCAGCGAGTTGGGCTCATATTTTCCAGACTGTGTGGTAGTCTGATCAAATGTCACAGAGCCCCAGACATAGCTAACAGTAACATATGCCTCGTTCTCTGGGAGAATAATGAGGCTTCGCGTAGTACATTCAATGACGGTCAAAGGTACGGCCGTTCGCGAACGCAGTACTGGATCAGCCCGAGGCTCTGAATGATCATATGTTTGGTTCATCCAGTCGGTTATTTTCGTGTATGAAACAAGTGGCGGCACCATCTCAGGCTGGCCGGCTGCCGATTGCTGTCTGCTAGCAACACAAGCGATTGGCTCAAGTGTAAAGATATGCCGTCCATCTGAGAAAGAGAAAAGCTTCAATTTCAAAATCCCGACACCTGTACCGTCTTTATTTGGTGTTAACAAAAACAGTTGTGCATATATAGTTGGTTCGGCAAAGTAGCGCTGAATGCTATTCTTGGTAAGTCCAGATGTGGATGCGACAGACTAACACGTACCTCATTGGCAAGCACCTACGTAGGTAGCTACACAGTGAACATGCTTCACTCCAATCAACAAGGGGTGCAAGCAGCCATGAGTAGGAGTTATCGTCTTTGTTTCCCGAAAGAATCAAGTCGAAGTCGACTCGGCTGCAGGTGGAACACAATTGAAATTCAGAGGCAGCATCCATCTGTTGTCTCGAAATGGAAACGCAACAACCAATATGACAAGGAGTATGTAGAAGCTGACACTGCAGCAAAAGCGATGTAGTTTGGTGTTGAAAGGTGGGAAACCAAGGCTGTCGCGATCTACTTGGCGGGGGAGCGGCAAGTCGCGCTAAGTACGTACTGTAACTACTAAGTACGCGAATGCTACGCGTCCCTCTTCTCCGACACGATACTGACCATCTCTTTCCCCAAGTGTGATCAATTCTCGTTCACGGGCAGAAACAACGAGGATCGAATATATATTCATCAGCCATGCATCACAAAAGGATCTATGAGGCTTCGGTGCGAACACCTCGCACAAGTTGGATTTGGTACCAACATGGGCTCATGAACAGACATTCTCGCGTCTTATAAACTTGAAGTCTCAGAAACGTTTAAATTCATCTCATGATTTATTTTTACACTATTCGATGCTAGTGCGCTATCACTCTATAGAGCGTTGCTGCCCCCTTAATACTCCTTAGCGAGCTTACTCCTTGCCCGCAACAAATGTCCATACTTGAACATGACGAACGGGATCAAACTCAGCACCGTTCCAAACATTGCAAGAATCAAGCCAGCATACTGACTGCCCACGTTGTGGAAGAAGGCGCTCGCGAAAAGCGGTGTCACGGCACCAAGCGTGTTTCTCATCAGACCTTGGCCAGCAATAGCCGAGGACGACGTCTCGCCATAGCAGTCGGCAGTGTACGAGTATGTACTCTCGAAGACAAAGTAGATACCGAAGGCGATAGGGGCGAGGCCGATCACGGGACCAACCCAGATGAGGTGTTCGTACTGCGTAAAGGAGTAGATGAAAAGGCCGATGGGCAGCCAGACGGCGCCGAACATTGCGCCGTAGAGACGGTGCTCGGGAACAACACGGACGTTGGGGTCTGCTTGTAGCTTGTTGTATTTGGCCATCTGCAGATGATGGGCTGCCCAGCCAAGAACGGTGCCGAAGGCGAGGGAGATGTACGGCAGGCCGCTGACGCCTTCGTTCCAGCCGCGCTTCTCGGTGAAGGTGATTGGGATGACGGACAGGAACAGGAACACTACGGCCCAGCAGAAGGCGATCCAGAGACCGAAGGCAAATACGACGGGTTCGGTGACTAGCATGCGGATAGCCTTGACGGAGGAAGCTTTAAGCATCGACTTGACGTCGGGTGTGTAGATGTCGTCTTCAGCGACATAGCGCCCATCACCAGTAGCCTTTTGGAGTTGTTTTGCGCGCTTATGGAGCTTGGCGCCACCACGGGTCTCTGGGAAGACGACAAAGATAAGGATTAGCAGAGGGATGTTGGCCAGACCTTGGATACCCTCGACCCAACGCCAACCGAGAGCTTGGTCAATGAAGCCAGCGTAGATGGGTGCAGCCACAGTACCGAAGATGGCTACGAAACTGAACATGGCCATGGGTCGGCCGCGCTTATGTGGTTCGTACATGTCGTCAAAGGTGCCGCCGACAAGGATAGTACCTACGCATCCAAAGAGACCCAGGAGCAGACGGAGTCCGATAATGGTGGAAATGTCCTGCGCCAGTGCCAGACCAATGAAGAGGAGCGAGAAGCACAGAAAAGCGCTGGCGTACACAATCTTGCGACCGACAAGCTCGCAGAAGGGGGCCAGCACCATTGGTGCAATCGCACAAGAGATGTTGAACGTGAACAGTCCAAGCTGGCCATATATGGTGTCGACGCCAAACTCCTCACACATGCTGTTTATTCCTGAACTGTATGCCGTTGTCGCAAGACCGATGAACAGCGTCATGAGGTTCAGCATCGTGGTGATACTGCGCTTGTACCAGGGATTCCAGTTGAAGGGATTTTCCTTGTCGCCAGTCGCGAAACTGAGGACGATGTATTCTTTGCCTTCGTGGTTGACCATCTCAGTCAGCGTGAGCGGCATGTCGCAGTCGACGTGCTTGATAGGCCCACACCCTGGATCAATATCCTCGATATCATCTGTGAGATGTTTTCCGCCGGCAATCCTCCCAACCATCAGCTCACCCTTCTCATTGCGTAGAACCTCAGAGTTCATAGAAGCATCGTCATTCTCGAGCTTACTGTTCACTCTTGACAGAAAGCCGGGTGTTGAAGGCCTGGTATGAGGAGCAGTATTGGCAGCGGTGTTGGCAGCGGTCTGAGCGGCAGTGGAGCCGGCGATGGTATTGGGGATGGAGCCGTTTCGAGGTGTCGTTACCGATCCATTTCGAGGTGTCACTGGCGCACTTTGAGCCACTCGATAAGATGAGTTCGCTCTCGATGCTGCTAGAGATGGGGGTCTGGACGATTTGTTGTAAAAAGAAGGACCATAGTACCCAGACATATTGGCCAAAGCTTGAGGGGAACAGTGCTTGAGAAGGGGGAAGAAGAGTGCGGGCAGAACACAGTAATAAGGGATGGCCAGCACACCACTCGACTAAAATGGAAGACATAGGCATTTGACATATCAACGCCGGCGAGGTACCGGCGTCATAGAAAACTAGGGGGCGGTGTGGAGTGGCAGTCATCCTGCCCATAGCCTGACCGTAAATGCCCGACAACTGGACCAAGAACAGGATGCGAAAGCAAAAAAATACCCATGTAATCTCATGGGGAACGTCATATTGTCTGTGCGTAACTGCGTACAGAAGCTCCCGTCCGGTATCAGGAGGACGGCCGGACGAAAATCTGATATCTGTAACGTGTACGGCCACTATGTGCTCTAGCGTTAAGATCGGAGGAAGAGATTTGGTGTTGAGGCTCTGCGGAACTCCACTTAGCGTGCGGACCCGCCGGTCGATGTGCGGCATGACGTGGTACGTGGGGATCGTAAGCCCAGAATTTGCATAGCTGCGAGAGGCTGCAGATCGAGGATTGTGCATTGCAGCCGGAAGGTGGGCACGCGTATGCAAGCAGTCTCTGTGTGGTCTGATCCAGATGTTCCTCATGGATGCTCCGGTCGCGCCACTGATCCTCCGACCCCTGCTGAGAGCGACAACGCTGTCGTGTTGAGCACCAGGATATTTCACCGAGTCTGATTTCGATTGCCTCAGTGATGATACAAGTGGCAACGCATGGGGTGTCACTTGATACTCACGATGTAATGTCTTGGCACTGGAAAAGGACACGGCTCCGAGATGCGCCACTGATGGGTGGTTTTTATAGCTGCTTTAAGTCAAGGGGTAGGGATGTAAGTATGCAAAGGCGAATGCATCGTGTGGTGAGCGCCTCGGCATACGAAAGAGATATGCGGAACAGTCCAATATCCAAAGTTTTACCGAATGCCTGGAGCACCTCAAGATTTTATCGGGTTGAATTGGAATCAAGAATCGGGCCACACCTGCCATCAAGTTAAATTGGCGCACCTCAAGTCATATCGAAAGAGTGTGACTGTTGAGTAACATGCAGGTACAGGCACAGCCAGGTGACAGACGTCGTCGGCGCCATCTGTTTAAACCTCTTCATGTCCCACCCAACGATACAGGTCCTTCGGATATGCAAACGGATATGGATTTCAAACGGCTTGTCTCACATTGGAACTAGGGGACGTGATGCAAACGTGGAGTATTCTGAGTCCGATTGTTAGGCATGATCCCTTGTCGAGTGAATGCACTAGTAGTCTCCTTGGCCATGAAGGTGCCATTGTTTTGTATGAATTCCTGAAAAACCCATGGTCGTTATGAGACCGGCATCCGAAAGCTGCAGTGAGCAATGTTATCGGACCATGACTGCCGATGCAGAGAAAACGCTCTAAGAACTCCACCCCAGTGCCCAATGTTCCCTTAAACCTCAGCAATCTCACGGAGACGGCGGATTGTTGACCTTGTGGCGGCGGCGGCGGGAGTGCTGATGACCTTGTTAGTAATTTCCTCATACAGTTCGCACACTCAGTCCCCGGCGGATGTGGCGTGCGAGAAGATCCGGGTAATCTTACGAGACGGTGTAGGCTCCTCCGGCGGTCGTCTTGCGGCAGGATCGGCAGTGCCAGATACCAACGGCCTCGCGCTTGACAGAGTTCTTTCCGCAGAACTGGCAGACGTAACGGGCGTGTTGTGTGATCTATCGTGGACGTGAGCGACTGGTTCTGTGGGCAGCCAGGTGGGATTGGGTAATGCGCACCTCCATCTTCTTGACCTGCTTGCGGAGCGAGGCACCGTAGCGGGTACCGTACTTTCCGGTGATGCCGACCTTCTTTGTGCCTACATTCCCGTCAATAATCGTTTCCTTGGGGGCGCCGGGCCATACGCACGCTTGGTCATTTTGGCGGTTGTGTTGATTTGACGATGAGGAGAGGTCGAGGCTTAGGCTTGTAGTTGCGAGCTGGAGATGGTGGGCGGCTCGAAATTCTAAGCGAGGCGCGCCACGTGACCCGGCCCGGAAGAACCAGGGTCCGGCCCCCTTCGAGAACTACAGAGAACGCGCGACCACGCGACGTCTGGGTTCACCTTCGCCTGGCCATGCACTCAAGATTCCTGGGCTTGCTGGGCTTGCTGGGCGTTCTTGCATCGCTCGAATCGCCGCCATGTTGCTTTGCGAATTCATCAATCAGAATTATCCAACTGTAGTTGCCGAGCATTAACAACACGACATCATCATTCGCGTGGCTTGGATCCGGTTTGAGAAACTCATTCTCAAGGCAATATGGTGCCTCAGAGGTCTGGAGACCCACTCGCTCCGGTTATGCCTGGGTATTACCGCACCAGTGCAGGCTCGAGATGTCGACTGTCCATGTCCTGCCACCAATTTTGGCACCATGGCGTGTTTTGTCCAGGCCCCGGATATGATCGTCGGAACAGATGTGGCGCAGTTCCCTACAGTTACAAAAGCCAGACTACCAATCTCCTCAAACGCTTGGCAGCCTAGCAGTTGAGATGGCTTGAAACCGAAACAGTTGACAGGCACTCCAAGGCGTCAATAGGCCACGGAGATCCACTGTACCGAAACTCAACGCGCTTATTGTCTGAAGACAATGCATGTTCAATGCTGAGCGATATTACTGACTGAGGTCTTTCAGGATTCATCGGTCCTTCCGCTGGTTAGTGCGCGTTGAGCAGTTTGGGTCGGACCATGCAGTGTAGGCATTGGCCTTGCTTAACAACAGTTCCTGCGAGGATGACTGAGGATGTATATAACCTAGGACCTCAAGGTGCCGGTGAATTGAGGGCAGACCCGGTTTTCACTTCAGGCAGGGCCGAAGCGATATCGTCCATCTCAAACTTTCACTCATACGCTCGTTCTATTTCCTAATTTACGTATCATGACTTTCACTTATTATTGGTCAGCCGTAGCTGTGGCGGCACTTGCTTCACGCGCTCTAGCACAAAATGCAACCATTATACCTGCAGATTTACAAAGTGGATTTGTTCCAGGCGGCGACCAAGTACAAGCCAGCTTTACTAATAATGCAATTGATGGCTTCCAAGATGGAACAGTCTTTACGCAACAGGGTTGGTGGGCCTCCTACAACATAACAAGGATCTACTGCTGACATTGATTCAGCCGTAGCGAAAGAACCCACATTTGCCCTTGGCGATAGCAACGGCATCAGCCCAAACATACTGTACACCATCATTATGGTAGACACAACATGCTCGAACGACCGGAAATTGCACTTCGCTCGTCCCAACTTTAAGAATAATTTCGACATCACCAACATCAATACTAGTTCCCCAGCCATTGTTGCATACATTGCTCCAGGCACGCTAGGCGAAAAGGGGAACAGGCAGTATAGCTTCTTGATGTACCAGAACCCGGGCGCGGTAGAGATTACCAAGTTGAAGTTACAAGGAGGAAATGCGACTTTCAACGTTCAGCAGTTTCAAGCTGACAATGGTTTGGATGCTGCGGTGGCAGGCGTGGGTATGGTGGTGAAACTCGGTGGTAAGGCGAATTGCGGAAACGGAACAGCACAACAAGTGCCTCAAAATCAAACCATACCGAAGCCTGTCAGTCAAGGAACTGGTAGTATGGATCCTAAGCGTCTTGATTCTATGAAGGGGTCTCAAATGATGGCTTCTCCTCCATCTGCCTCGAATGGCCCTCCCAGCATGATGAATAGCACAGCTATGGCGCCGCCACCACCACCTCCAGGATCACCACCCCCAGGGCCCCCAGGACCTCCACCACCTCCCAACGGTCCTGCCGCAATGATGAACGGCACTGCTACCCCAATGCCACCTCCTCCTCAAGGACCACCAGCCGCAGGACCTCCACCACCTCCAAAAGGTCCTCTTGGTATGATGAAAACCCCTGCCATGCCACCACCACCTCCGAAGGGTGGTCCTGGTATGATGAACAGCGCAGCTATGTCACCACCTTCTCCAGGATCTCCACCATCACCGCCTTCAGGACCTCCAGGACCTCCAGGACCTCCACCACCCGCGAATGGTCCACCTGGCATGATGAATGGCACAGCTATGCCTCCTCCACCACCCCCTCCTCCCCCGGGATCGCCACCGCCACCACCTCCGAATTGCCCTCCTGGTATGATGAGCAGCGCTGCCATGCCACCGCCGCCCTCGAGTGGTTCTTCTGGAATGAACGGCACTGCTATGCCTCCACCCGCGAATTGTCCTCCCGGTATGATGAATAGTGCAGCTATGCCACCACCGCCCGCTAATGGTCCCGCTGGTATGATGAACAGTACTGGTATGCCTCCACCTCCTCCTCCAGGATCACCACCACCCCCACCCCCGGGTGGTCCTCCTGCCATGATGAACAACACAGGCATGCCACCGCCGCCCCCTGCAGGATCACCACCACCACCACCACCTCCTCCACCAGGATGCCCGGCACCACCACCACCTCCAGGTTGTATGCCAATTCCTGCTGGCAGCAGTGATTCCGTAATGGCTCGAGCAATATTAGGATCGCCCCGCTCTCCAGTACGTGTTGCCCGGCCCAAGCCACGCAAAGCACGTGCCAATAATATCCTACCGCTGCTGAGCGAAGAGGATGTACCAGGGTCGTTAGAATTGATTTCCGACCTGCCAGAGCATAGGCGAAACGGAGCGGCTGGAAACGTTCAACGCCAGAGCTGGGCGTTTACCGTCATGATTATGGCGTTCTGTGTTTTGGTTGTATGAACATTGTTTCGTTGTTTTTATCCTGTCTGCAACGCACGACAAGTCTGTATTTTTAGCTTTTGTTGTATAATTAACATTTATGAGTTTTGTATGTATGGAATTTCCAATGCAAGTCTCAGATTATGTTACATGCTCGACTGCACTTGGCCACCCATTTTGAGGAGCTGTCAGGATGGTATAAAAGCATAAATTCCCAACGACAGCGCAGCTTCTCCAGTAACACACTGTGTGAAGTGACTTTCTGCTTTGCGCCCTTTAACACACATCCGCCTACTGTACATGTTGCGCCTCAAATCTACTCCTTCACGGCTTCAGCATAGGACTTATCCATCGACTCATGCTTCTTGATCAGCTCGCCAACAACAAAGGGGATACAGTCCTTTGGGCCATAGTACTTCAGGTTGAACTTGTCCCATTCTCCCGCATCCCTCAAGTATTCCAGCGTATGTCTCTGGAGTTCACATCCGCCCATGAAAAAGGGCCAACCGATTATTGTGTAAACCAGCTGCATGAAGCGCGCAGCTACACTGCCTTCAGTCCTCCAAGGGTTGGCCACGTGCTCGCAAATGACCATTCGGCCGCCGGGTTTGAGAAGGTTGTAGAGTCCCTTAATAGTTTGTTCTGGATGCGGTACGCTGCAAAGTACACGAGTGCAGCAGATTTCATCAAAGACTCCTTCCGAGGCCAGGCCTCCCTTTCCGCTGACATCTAAAATGCCACTCTTGTGCAGTGCTGGGATCAAACTTTCCGGCTCGGCTCCGCACACCATCGGATGAAACTTGCTTCCAAAGCCTCTCTTCTCTGCATTCTTCAATAGTCCAGGGTGCAGGTCCTGGGCAGGCTCGGCGCCATAGATTGCAACAATGAGGGATGGGTCGAAATGCGATAGCACTTCTCCGGATCCAGGGCCGACATCGAGGATAACACCTTTGCATTGGGATAAGAGCTCGAAAGTAGGACCGGGCATCTCGGTGGACATGGCTTCGCCATTGTGCTTCCAAAGACGAGCAAAGGCCTTGAATCGCAGTTTTTTTATGTTGAAAAGGGTGAAGGGGCTCCAGTCATAGAAGACGACTTCAAACATTGTCATGAGAAAGTCTGTATTACCATTAGCCTCTCTACACGGTGTGTAGGGAGAGGAAAGACACCGTACGGTATACTGCTATGCAGAGCAGTATAGTTGGACGAAGCAGCGTTGGGACAACACTGCCCAGCCATTCCGCGGACGTCATGATGACTTTCTCCAGTCAAAACACAATGTCCGTTCTACCGAAGAAGCCAGGAGATAGTGGGCAGCTGGAAAGAAAGAATTTAAAAATAGGTGACGGAACTGATAAGCAAACGCAGCTCAGGCTCGATTGGACAGGGCGTCAGAGGTCATTGGAGAGAGAAGCCGGTAGAAGGCCGAAAGCGCAACGTCTCGGGAATTTGTACCTGGTCGAGCCACGGCGATTAGTCACGTTCTGCTACCAGCAAAAGAGAGAGAAGGCGTTTGGGTCGAGATGTGGGCGGATATGCGGCGGTGACGTCGACGCGCTAGTGACAGGAACCGGTCTAGCCGCAAAAGGAATCCGGCGCCCCCGCATTGGGAGCTTGGACAACCCTCTGCTGCCAGAACAGCCACAGCTATTATCAAAAGCAAATTACATTAATACATGAGCACAAACATGGCAAGGCCGCAATATGTGCTGATCACTGGGTGGGTACAGGCACAGGCGTCGTGCTGCACTGCACTGCGCTGCACTGCAGACGCGATGCAGAGGGTCGATAAGCGAGGGCTGACGCGCGAGCTGTAGATGTACGCCGGGCGGCATTGGACATTATCTCGCCCTGGAATTCGCTGAGAGGGGTAAGTCAGCCAAGCCAAGCCTGAGAGGGACGAAGATGGTTCCAGACTGACGTGACGAGGCTTCCACGTTCTGGCCACTGTCCGCGATCCCGACAAGTACACCTCGCCCGACGCCAGAATCACATACCTCCCCCTCGAGCTCTCCAACAATGATTCCATCGCGGAACTGCACAAACGCGTCACCGAAATCACGGGCGGAAAGCTCGATATTCTATACAACAATGCCGGACGCAACTATGTCATGCCCGCCCTCGATTACGACGAGCAAGAGCTGCACCAGCTTTTCCAAGCAAATTTCTTCTCTCTGATAAAGATGTGCAGCACTTTCGCGCCGCTTCTCATCGAAACAAAGGGCACCATTGTCCAGACGGGCTCGATTGCGGCCGTCATGCCATATGCGTGGGGTGCACTGTACAACGCAAGCAAAGCCGCCCTGCACGCCTACTCGGACACCCTGCGCGTTGAGCTTGCACCGCTAGGCGTTCGCGTCATCACCGTGGCCACTGGTGGTGTCAAGTCGAACATTGCGCGAACAGAGCGCTCCCTGCCGCCGGGCTCATACATGCAGCCGCTTGCAGCCGAGTACCAGCGGCGACTAAAGCATAGCCAGGAGCTGGGAATGGACACAAAGCAGTATGCAAGAAGCTGTGTAAACAAAGTGCTCGCTGGCGATGGCTTGTTCCGCAAAACCAGATGGATATGGGAAGGTAAAATGAGCTGGATCGTGTGGTTCGCGTGGACATACCTACCTACTGCAGTTTTGGATTATTATTTCACCAGGACGTTCAGCCTCAACAAACTTCGAGGGACTGCGGGGCCGGATAAAAAGAGCGATTAAACAAACAACATAATGCCAAGCATCCAGCACTACGCCCAAGATAGTCAACCGAGTTTCATACCCTTTTCGGAGTTGCCCTCCAGTGCCCCCTTTTCTCGTGCGCGTCGCATTTCTCTGAGGGCTTGACCGAATGTCGCTTTGGACAGCTCTGATACTCTACTGGATTGAGAAGAAAGAGTGATGAGGTCATTCTACCAGCCCGCCGCAGTCAACAGGATGAACAAGTCCCGCTAGTATGCCAAGCGTAATGCGTGGATCTCTTAAGCAATCTTAGGATCCGCTCGCGACTCGTCGGTTCTACACACCCGAGGGAATACGAACAATGAAATCCTCCAGAAAAACCCAAGAATTCCTAATGTAACTTCAGGAACGCTTCTTTGGGTAGAAATTCCCAACGCCCTCACACACAGCGACATGGTACAGGATACGAAAGGAGCATGCGGTTCGGCCAACATATCTGTTTAGACTATACGACCATGATCGTTGGTAACCTCATCTCAGTCCCCCCCCCCCAGAGACATGTCCTTCTGCAGTAGTGACTTGGAAGTTTCTGAAAAACAATGCTTGGAGTACCTACAAGACTTTGAAGGCAACACCCGGCCCAATACTTGCACAAGAGTAAGCGGCGTCCTCCTGCCCTAAACAACGAGCAAAGGTGCGCTAAACCTTGACGACCACCATCCACGCGCTTCCCCTTTTCTCCTACCGTGGGCAGAACATTGATGAGACTGGGGTAAATGGAGAAGGGGATGGATTTGCGTAGAGGGGGCGCAGTGTCACGTATGCTCCGTTTTACCCGCACTGTGTGGAGACAACTTGGGTGGCTGTATCATGGCGTCCGCAGCACTCGACGAGTGCACGACATCAGGTTGGACTATTGGACAGTCCAAGATAAGAGATATCAGTCTATTCAAGGCTGTGATCTTCTGGTCTCGATCCAACGTCCTAGATACCTTGAATTCTGTCATCTGCTACTTTGTACTTTTACTACTCGATACACTATGTGCGCCCCCCTTCCTCCATCGTCGCCATATCTGTTCTTAAACTGCGGCGACCATCCGGGAATCCGGTCCGTCCGTTCCTGCGCACGCTGTCCTCGCACTGGAGCCGAGTCTCGCTGTGATCACGCTGATGATGCGTGAAGTCGTGTTCCACGTCCACAGCCACGGCCTCACTCGCGCCTCGCCTGCCCTCGACGCCCCCTTCTATACCAGCTGCCAGGACCCCATCCTCAACGCTACTACACACGACAACGCCGTGCTGCTCATGCTAGCCCGCAGCTCGGAAGCACAGGGCGCAGTATCCAGCGTCCGCAGCGTGCAAGTGCAGTTCAACGACCACTTTGGCTATCTGTGGGTGTTTCTCAACGACGAGGAGTAGACTGCAGACTTCAAACAAAAAGTCACACAAGCAGTGCGGAATATCACGACGATACGCGGTGTACAGGTTACCTTTGATACGATTGCCAGTTTGTGGGTGCGGCGAAGGGTGCGGCGAGGGAGCTGGGGTGTAGGTGTGAGTGCGATGACAAGATTAAGATTGTGGAACCTGTGTGTATGAATCGGGCAGGGGTGGCATTAGGTGCAGATGTGATTCCGTAGTAGTAGTATTAGCAGAGTGGATAGTTGGTTATTAATACAGCGTAGAACAGCACACTTTAACCTCATCATGTTCCTGCTTGCTCTACTCTGAATAGATCTGGATTTTGTATCAACATGTCTCGCACGTTGCCTATGGTGAAGGCGCGGTTCTTCTCCACGCAACCGTACAGGCACCTTATCACCTTTGTTGGCCATTCCGTGTACTTTGCCCATTGTCCGCTTTTGTCGTCGTCGAGGGCTGCCATGATCTTGGCTGCCCATTGTACCGCTGCCTTTGCTGGGTTGCGCAATACGTTGTCTGGCGCGGTAAAGGGCAAGAGAATAAAGCGTACGGCGCAAAAGTGCGCCAGGACAACGTTGCCAAGGTGGTTAGCAGGGTCGAATATGCGGACCAGCTCCTCGTGAGGCCAGGTAGAGAATAGAGTCAGGGTTGCCATCATGGCTTTGAAGGCGGCGAAATGGAAAGGTGCACCGGGAGGCGGAGCGGTAATGTTGTCCCAGTCGATGTCTGGGAACAACGTGGCCGTATCCGCTGGGAGGAGAGGATTTGTGAAAGCAAAGTATTTTGGCGACAGGCTATTCGCAGGTGGGAGATCTGGTTCTGACAGTTTTTCGCTTTTTGGGTCGACATTGGAGTGCAACAGAAAGCGAAGTGCTTGGGCGAGCTGACAAACGACAGCTTTCTCAATGGCATGCGCGCCGAGTTGCGATACCAAGGGCGAGAAACCTTTGAGGGAGAGCAGAGCTTGATGAACTAGGCCTTGATCCAGTTGGGGAAATTTGGAGAATGGCGAGTCTACGGCTATCAAGTTCCAGTTTGTCTGATCGACGAAAGGGCCTGTGAAGCCCTCAGCCATGATGAGCTGAGCCAGCAGCGAGCAACCTCTCAGAGAGACAAAATGCTCTAGGAAGCCGTCTTCCATGAAAGTGGACTGGTAAGATAACAGGAAGGATGCTGCGAACATGACATGGGATTCTTCGGCGGTTGGAGGCCATCGAGTAAAAGCTTCGCCCAGGCCTACAATGGCTTTTTGGCGGTGGTGAAGGGCTAGGTCGTTTTTGGGCTTTTCGACCTGGAGTGCAAGATGTGATCCTGCTAGGGCGAGCATGGCTTCCATGAGGTACGAGTACTAGGTCGGTCAGCTTGGACGGATACCTGGCAGCTGTGCAAGGTGTGTTTACTTGATGGCTCTTGACGGGCACATCTCTGGTCCATATGTCTACAAAGTCGTGGGGAACGCAAGGATATGCGGCAACGAGATAGTGGTGGAAGAGCTGCATGTCGTCTCGACTGTACATGATGGGCGTATCCGACAGTTGGACGAGCTGACGTGGACTTGGCACGTCGAGCGCGGCAGGCTCGCGCAACACATTTTTGAATGCGTCCGAATAGCGGCACACCCCTATTTGGTGTTCAGTCAGGGTGGAGCTTAGTATAGGACGGGCTGCCTACATCCACGCTTGTCGCAGTTGGCACACGACGGCCATGTCTCCTGGCACTGGCGGGCTTAGCAACATGGACAGACGGCTGGGCAGCGAACGCGTACCTTGACCTTCCTTCGCTTACAGCCAATGCAGCCCAAACGGCTCTTGGTATGTCCGCGTCGTTGTCGTAAAGCTGCCGAGGCTGCAGTGTAACCGCTGGACACGGACGGGCTGGTGGGTGTGAGTAATTCGGGCTACCAGAAGGCAACAAAAAGCAAAGCATACTCTGGGCTGCGCAGGGTTGGGGCGGAGACGGGCGAGGGCGAGGGCGAGGCGTGATTGGAATCATGGACATGGTGCTCGGGGCGTGGGGCGATTGCAGGCTGCTTGGTGCGGTCGGCCAGCGGGCTGTGGGCGAGAAAGTCGGCTACGGCATCGAGCACCATGTAGCCCTCGAACAGGTCGTCCATGGTGAGCTGTCAGGCGTGGAGATTCTCATTTGGGATGGTTTATGCCAGGCCAGTACCAGGCGTAGGGCAGGGTAGGGTATTGTGCACAAGGCGTCCGTGACCCCACTATGCACTCGCACTTGATACGTCGGCGCGTCGGCGGTGGTGGCGTTCTGGGCCGGACATGCGAACGTGAACATGGACATGGCGGTGACGCCACACGCAGCGCACTGGTGCATTGATGGTAATATCGAGGCTGCTGGTGGTTGACTGCGCCACGGCCGAGTGCGTGAGCGAGCGATGTGATAGTCAATGGCACTGCAATAGTCAACGGGCACTGCAGCCGCGCCCGCGCCCGCGCCTGGGCGGCTGGCAAAGCAAAGTGCCCCAGGCCCACGACGACGCTACGTCACCGGCCCAAAGCGTGCATATCCCAACATGGCCCATGGATGCTGGTGCTGATGCTGATGCTGATGCTGACACTGAGGTTTGGCCGCCCCTGGACGTGAAGTATCGTCTCTGTCTTGTCGCAATCCGGGTGGTGAGAAGGCTGGCTGCGAGGAATTCCGGGCCCCGTCGTGGTCGGTCGGTCGCATCCATACAGTGCAGGCCGGGAAGAGGGCTCGCCGGTGTCGCGTGAGCAGGGCTAGCAATGCGGCATGGGGGGGGGAATGCACCAGTGCCAGCATGCGAAAAAAAAAAGAACATGAGAGTGCTGGTGCCGTCAGTCGGTCGGCATGCTGGACCGACGAGAAAGTGCTTCGACAGGTTTCTTGGTGGTTCGTTAGGCTCCTGCTCCCATGCGCTCGGGATGCTAGCCGCATCCACATGACGCCGCGGGTGTGAGGCTGCCGTTGTCAGCTGGTGCCTGGAGCGCGCAGGTCGTCTACGTACCGAAATGTCGACCATCTTGAGCCAGAAGGTGTTGCCGACCAGGTCGTTGGCCAGGACGACGGCGCCCTGCAGGCCCGTGTAGGTCCATCGGTGGCGGTCGGGATAGGCAATGTACAACTTGGCGACGGCGACGGCGTGGATTTTGTTGCCAGACTTGGGCACGGTGCGCTTGACCATCTGCTTGTCCTCGTCGGACAGGATCGAGGGCATTGTGGCGGGTTATGCACGCCGTGCTGCAGCCTCGACGTACACGTTGGCTGCGTGTGGTTCGGGGGGGGGGGGTGGGAAGGGTTGAGTGCAGCCGTCGGGCGCTGGCGTGTTCGCTTCAGTGGGGGCGTGGTCCTCGCGCAATGCTTAGGCAGCACATGAAGCCGCTGCAGTCACGTTGAGGGGCCCAGCAGTGCAGCCCGAGGCGGGTGAGGGGCGGAGGCTGGCGGCGAGGTCAGGATCGCCGCGGCCGTGTTGTTGTGGTGGTGGTGGTTGCTGTGGGCGTGGTAGTTGGCGTGAAGAATGCCGGTGGAGCCTGTGAATGGGAGACGTCAGACGAGCATGAGGGCTGCTGATCTGGGACCAGGAAATCTACGACCCCTTCGCCTACAACCAGGATCGCGTCTTCTTCCACACGTTTGAGCTCGAGGACTGCCTCGCCGGCCTGTCGTTTGCCGACGAGAAGGAGGCTAGGACCTTCAAGAAGAAGCTCGACGACCGCGAAAAGAACGCACACAAGAACACCAAGAGCAAGCCCTTTAGCGTGCCCGCCGGAGGCAGCGGAGGTGCAGCCAACGGAAACAGTGGCCATGGCCACGGCCACGGCCATGGTCTTCTGGGTGGCATCTTCGGACACCGCAATTCGTCGCCCGCCGCTCCGCCCGCGCATTCCATCATCCCGCCCGCCAGCGTCACGTCGCCCGTGCAAAGCAGCCACTCCAACGCAACGAGCGCGCGCAGTTCCGCAATCGATACCACGGACCCCTCATGGCAGCCGCTGCTCAAGGAACTGCTGGCCATGGGCATCACAGAAGACCAGATTGAAGAGAATGCCGATTTCATCAAGCTGTACATTGAGCAGAGAAAGTCGGAGGAGAAGCTCAAGGAAGACAACCAGCGCAGGTCCAGGGCTCCTCCGCCGCCTCCGCCCAGTGCGCCTCCAATGGCTTCGTCTCTCAGTCCCCAAAATACGGGCAGCACCTCCTCGTCGAGACGCGGACCTCCGCCAGCTCCTCCGCCAGCGCGCCGCACGAGACACGACACATCAGTCAATCGCAACTCGTCGGGCAGTCCAGCGCCGCCATCGCCAACTCGAGAAGCCACGCCGCCCCCAGGACCGCCCAAGCCCGTCTTCCGAGCGCCTCCGCCTATTGCAGATGCAGGCAAGTTTGCGAACCAGCCTGCACCCAACAGACCGCGCGCCTCGTCCAACACCGCCAACCCCGGCCCTCCACCACCACCGCGACCGCCAAAGACACCCGTGCCCGACGAGGAGAGGTCAGCCGGAGCCAAGTTTGGCGTACCTCCACCTTTTACAGGAAACCGCGTACCTTCAGCGCCGCCGCCGCCTCCTCCGAGCCGAGGACCCGTACCACCGCCGCCCCCAGCGAGAGACACACCGTCAGCTCCTCCTCCGCCTCCACTTCCCCCAAAGACTTCAGCAGCACCGACTCCACCTCCGATTCACAATATCCCTCCTCCGCCGCCGCTACCGCCCGCTTCATCCCGTCCAGCGCCTCCTCCGCCGTCAGGAGCAGCACCCGTTCCACCGCCTCTACCTCCGACATCAAATGTAGCGCCTCCGCCACCGCCTCCGCCGCCTCCACCCATGCCAGGACGAGCAATTCCTCCGCCTCCGCCCATGCCCACCAGTGGTGCGCCGCCAGCGCCGCCCCCGCCGCCTCCTCCTATGCCAAGCAGCGGCGCACCCCCAGCGCCACCCCCAATGCCTCCAACCAGTGGACCTCCCGGACCACCACCTCCTCCGCCACCGGGTGGTGCACCGTTACCCAAACCCGCAGGTGGTCGAGATGGATTGCTAGCGGATATCCGTGGAGGAGCAAGATTGAGAAAGGTTGCAGATTCGGAGAAGAAGGATCGCAGCGGGGCATCAGTGCCTGGAAAAGAACCGCCCGGTGGTGCGGGAGGCGGTTCAGCCTCAGCTGGTGGAGAAGCTGGCCTGGCTGGAGCATTGGCCAGCGCACTTGCGGCACGGAAGTCCAAAGTTAGTCACAGCGGTAAGTTGGCAGTATTCCTATGCAACCTCATAGTATGCTAATGCAGCTCCAGACGACGAGTCAGACAAGGAGGACTGGTAAATGAAGCGACTGCATCATGTGCCAAACCAAACCCCCCATACAGAGCGCCGAGTCGATGGCCACGTGTTGCATGGCTGGACCATCAGGCAGATATAGTTGTACGACGAAATGAGCGGAAAATCAGCCACAAGGCGTACAATGGAAGAAGTGGATTTTGGTAGAGATGGCGGACAGAGGGGACAAAGGGAAGGGGACGCAGGGGTGTGATTGGCTAGCGTGAGTGATAGCGACAGTGATAGCGACAGCGATAGCGATAGTGATAGTTGGCACCAAGAATGAACAAGATATATTCTTCCCTTCCAGGCCGTCTATTTTTCCGTCATGGTCCGTCACGTGTACGGAAAACAGATGTAGGCCAAGGGAAGGCCAAGGGAGCAGGACAAGGAGAGTAGGGCAAAGAGAGTCGCGCGGTAGCGGCAGCGGCAGGGGAGTAGCGTAGCCGAGGGGGCGAGCCGCCGCATGGATGACGGTGCGGGGTAACGACTTGTCGGCGGGCGGGTGACAGCGACAGCAGCGCAATCGCAATGGGAGCCATGCCAGCCAATCTCGGTCGGTAGAGACGAGCAGCATCAATTGCAGCTTGGCTGTAAAAGTATTTCTGCAACACTGCTGTGGTGAGGCCTGCAGAGGGTGGGCGGAGCGCACCAGCGGATAACCATGCCCGACCTCGGTTGACGACGGCGTATCTTTGCTCCCGAATTCTGCAAGCCGAGCATGCTCAACATCTGCACTGAACCGACTCAAAAGCCAGCCTGTCCCTCAAAAGCGCCTAGTACGACTGTTCCTTTTTCTCCAGAGCTGCATTGACGTCGTCTGGGGCGACCGAAGCTAATCAAGTCATGTCGGCCTTCAGTCGCAACCTCTGCAGTACCGCTTCACGAAACCTCCGATCGCGAGCCAGCATCGTCGCCAGAGCCACCACCAGGCCAATTGCTCTCCGAGCCTGTCCCTCAATCTCAGCAACCTCCAGAGCGACAGCTGCATCGTCGTTTTCCACCATGACGGTCCTCCAGAGCAACGTGAAGCAGGCGCTGACCAAGCGCGAGTACGACCCCGAAATCAAGGACATTGCCAGCTACATCCACAACACGCCCGTCAACTCGGAGCTCGCGGTATGATGGGCAAACACCCCCCCTGATTGACATTTTTTGGGCTAATGCAAGCGTCTTGGGTCAGTTCGACACGGCTCGCTGGGTGTTTGTCGACACGCTCGGCTGCGGTCTCGAGGGACTGCGGTTCGAACAGTGCAGGAATATTCTGGGCCCCGTTGTCCCAGGCACGACAGTTCCCAATGGCACAAAGGTGCCCGGCACCAACTACCAGCTCGACCCTGTCAACGGTGCCTTCAATATTGGCGCCATGATCCGATGGCTCGACTTCAACGACTGCTGGCTAGCTGCCGAGTGGGGCCACCCCTCTGACAACTTGGGTGCTATCCTCGCAACTGCCGACTGGATTACACGCACAAACAAAGCTGGGGGCAATCTCGGTAATGGAAAGATCTTCAAGGTGCGAGATGTGCTCGAGGCTATGATTAGGGCCCACGAAATCCAGGGTTGCATGGCTCTCGAGAACTCGTTCAACAAGGTCGGCCTTGACCATGTCATTCTCGTAAAGCTTGCGTCAACTGCAGTAGTGTCCAAGATGATGGGACTCAGTGAGGCTCAGACGCGTGATGCCATCTCACAGGCCTTTGTTGATGGGCAGTCGATGCGCACCTACAGGCACTCGCCAAACACCATGTCACGCAAGTCATGGGCTGCAGGGGACGCCTGTCAGACAGCTGTCAATCTCGTACTCAAAGTCATGAAGGGCGAGCAAGGCCTGCCCACTGTGCTCTCAGCTCCCACCTGGGGCTTCTACGACGTCAACTTTGGCGGCAAGCCGTTCAAGTTCCAGCGGCCATACGGCAGCTACGTCATGGAGAATGTGCTCTTCAAGGTCTCGTATCCTGGTATGCTTTCCGTTAGTCCATTTTCCTCTTTCAAGCGCAAACTAACCCGGGGGCAGCGGAGTTTCACTCGCAGACAGCGGTCGAAGCCGCCCAGCGCCTCAACAAGAAGCTAAAGGCAATGGGCAAGAGTGCCGAGGACATTGAGGGTGTCGTGAACCGGACGCACGAGGCGTGCATTCGTATCATCGACAAGCAGTTCAAGCCCATGGAGAACTTTGCTGATCGCGATCACTGCGTGCAGGTAGGTCTTAGCCTGGACTGACTCACAGACGGCGCTGACGTTATGGTAGTACATGGTGGCCACCATGTTTGTCTTTGATCGTCTGGAAGCCACCGACTATCCTGACGATAGCGAAGCGGCGACTTCAGCCCTGGTCGAGTCGCTGCGTCAGCGCATCAGCTGCGTCGAGGACCCCCAGTTCACCAAGGACTACCACGACCCGGAGAAGCGAACCATCTCTAATGCGCTCACGGTGACGCTCAAGGACGGCACGGTGCTGGAGGAGGAGGTAGTTGAGGCTCCGCTGGGCCACCGATTGCGACGTGAAGAGGCCAAGCCTGAGATTCTCGCCAAATACAAGAGGCATCTCGGCCCGCATTACCCGGCCGACCACGTCGACAAGCTGGTTGGGCTGGCACAGGACAGCAAGACGCTCGACAACATGGACATTGACGAGTACGTCGACCTGTATGTCAAGAACTAGGGAGAGACTAGGCGTCGATGCCGCAATCATAGCTAGATTAAGTGCGGCGGGCTGGCGTGAGGCGCCTCGGCAACGCTGGGCCATGTCGTGTTTTGTTACTTAGCTAATGCACATCCACATGCAGTCCAAGGTTCTGTGCTTGGATATAGTTTGTTCTATGCACATCCCTGTCGCGTGCGCTTAGTAGGCACGTTGGAACGTCACGCCAGAAGGCCGCTTGGGCCATGTCATATAGTTCTGCAATATCCCATACACGCCGCATGATCACAGCCTGCCGACACAGGTGTGCACCCATCGCATGCGCTGCGCCATGACGATGTCGTTCCGGCCGGGAAGTATTCTTGGTTCGATATTGAACTTGTGGAGACGTGGCGCTGACTGATTATTGGGCAAAAAAGTACCGACCTGGGCTGCTCCTCGCAGGGCCTCCGTCTCTGCCACCCCCCCCCACCCCCCCCCCCACAAGACATTATTTACGAGATGAGCACTGAAGCGGAAGCGCCGACCACCAGCTCGTACAGCCTGGCTGCGTTATGTCAGGTCGGCACCGGCGGAAGCTGGACTAAGACCAGGCTCCACCGCAGACAGGCTGTGGCGGTCTTGTTTACGGAGATTGGTACCGGATACTCCAGAGATCGTTTGCGCGAGGATAGCGTCACAGCAATCCATTACCTAGATGAAACACGTACGCCTCGTGTCCCAAATCCTAATAAGTAGTACCTTCTCCAAGGTCGTCCCGTCTAGTCTGCCCGTACAGCCATTACCAAACCTTTCTTACTGCACCTTGGGAGCTCCTTTCAACATCTACTTCAGGATACCCCTGCCGTCTTGCCTTTGACCTCTATGATACCTCCGGCGAGGCTTTGGGCTTGAGTTTGTATATTGCCCGCCATGTCACGCGTACCAAGCAGCAACTTTTCAGACGGCCTCAGTGTGAAGTCGCTCGACGATGCAGAAAAGGGACTGGCCGAGTTACCCGCACCTCCTGGCTTCGTATACATGGATCCCAAAAAGTGCCTTGCCACGGCATCTTCAGTCTCCCTCTCGTCGATACCCCACGGAATAACACCAACTCAGAGCGTACCAGAGCTGTCTCTGACACTACTACCGGGAGAGAAGCCAACAGATGCGTCGGCACTCGAAACCACAGTCAAGGAGCCGCCCAAGGACAAGCCACAAAAGCCAAAGATCAGCCGTTGGGTTCTGTTCAACCTCTGGTTCAACACATACCGCAAGTTCTTCATATTCGTTACCGTCCTGAACCTCGTGGGCATCATCTTGGCGGCATGCAATATCTTCCACTACGCAGAGAACCATCTCGGAGCTCTGGTGCTGGGAAATCTGCTTTGTGCAATCCTCATGCGTAATGAGTTGTTTCTGCGCATTTTGTACATGATTGCCATACATGGTTTGAGTGTAAGTATACAAACTTTGGTCACTTCTCTATGTGTTGTTTGTCCCACTGCTGACGGGCTTGGAAACAGTGGACACCGATACCCGTCAAACTAGCCATTGTATCCATACTGCAGCATGTTGGCGGTATTCACTCTGGATGCGCCCTATCTGGTGCAGCGTAAGCATCCAGAAGCCTCTAAGAAGTTTGTTCGGACTGACGGGAGAAAACATAGATGGCTCGTCTACAAGATTGTCGACATTATTAGGTATCACGCTGTGCAGCACCCTGCTGTTATCGTCAGCGGAATCATCACAAACATCTTTATCATCATCTCCATCATAAGTGCCTTCCCGTGGGTACGAAAGTAAGTTGGTCTAGATGAAACTCCCGTTAGAACGCCACGACTTACCAACTGCTGCTTCCAGTACCTACCACAACGTTTTCGAAAGACACCACCGTTTCGTGGGCTGGCTCGGCCTTGCAGTATGACCTTTCCCCCCCCCTCCCCCCAAAAAAAACTACCCGCCAAGGTTATGCATGCTGATTTGTTCGTTTGCAGATGACCTGGGTTTTTGTGATCTTGGGCAACACATACGACATCAAGCGTGGCGAGTGGCGATCGGACTCGCATACCCTCCTCGATTCACAAGAGCTCTGGTTCGCTGTGTTTATGACTATTTTGTACGCTTAGTTTTCTTTTTCTTTTTGGGTTCAAGCACGACTCAGTTCACTAATCAGCATGCAGTGTCCTGATTCCGTGGCTTACGCTGCGCGAGGTGCCTGTCGAAGTGGAGATTCCGTCACCCAAGGTCGCTGTGCTCAAGTTTGAGCGCGGGATGCAGCAGGGCCTTCTGGGGCGCATCAGCCGCACATCCGTCATGGAATACCACGCTTTTGGCATCATCAGTGAGGGCCGCAAGTCGGGCTGTCACTACATGATTTGTGGCGTGCAGGGAGACTTCACCAAAGGGCTCGTGGCCAACCCGCCAAAGACGGTGTGGACGCGGCAACTCAAATTCGGTACGTTGTTCCATGGACAGGTCCCGTCCAACCTAATCATGGGTTTGCCCTTTTTTTGGCTAACGTCTTTTGCTATGTGCTCCACAGCGGGACCCGGCCATGCCTCAGCCATGTTTCAACGCGGAATCCGTATCTGCACAGGCACCGGCATTGGGGCTGCCCTCTCCACCTGCATCCAGTCGCCCAACTGGTTCCTGATTTGGATTGGGTCTGACCAAGAACGCACCTTTGGCCCTACCGTGTCGGGGCTCATCCACCGGCACATTGAACCCGAGCGCATGATTCTCTGGGACAGCAAGAAGCGCGGCGGACGACCGGACACCATGGAGCTGCTGAGAGACACGTGGAAGCGCTTTGGAGCCGAAGTCATCTTCATCACCAGCAACAAGCAGGGCAATGACGAGATGATGCAGGGATGCGCCCAGGAGGGCATGCATGCCTTTGGTACGCTATGGGATTTTTAAGCTTTTTCAACCACCCGCGTACCTTACTTGGCTCCTCGCCGCTATGGCACGTAAGCGGCCGAGCACACACACACACACACAAAAGCATGATCTACCCTACCCGCACGGCTCAACCACGGGCGCCAAAGAGGCCCCCCCTCCCATGGACAGACAAATAAGGTCGAGCAGGGCTACCCTTTTGGGCACTCGCTTGTCAGATTGGCCCATTGACACAAGATACTTTCCTTTGACGCATTCGTATTGGGAGTTTTTTGTTCATTTTCTTTCCTCTTACGGTCTGACGTTTTTTCTAGGGTGGGGGGGACAAGAAGAAGAAGAAGAAGAAGAAGAAGTGGGGGTGGAGTTTTTTATTTTCTACCATCTTTGTTTCCCTTTATTTCTATTTTTTTTTTTGCCTTGTCAGGTACCCACTTTTTTGGTCTCCGTCTTCTCATCTTCGACCAACTAGTCTGGTATTATCTCTCCTCAGCCCCCTTTTTTGGCGAGCTGTTTGTCGGGTTTCACCCCCCTGCTTTTCTTTCTCTTCTCCACTTCTTCTTCTTCTGTCTCCTCTTATCATTTTACTCCAGCAAAGATGTATATTTTTTTCTTCTCTTCTGGATGGGTAGAAGCTAGGTCATTGCTCCCTATGGTAGAGTTTCCATGTGTGATACATGGTCGTTGTTACCTTGCGTCATCACACGTAATGTTCCTCGATCCAACACAATCTGCAATCAGTGACCAGGGCTTGCTGGCCCCAATCGAGCCAGTCTCTTGCTTGTCTTTGCTGATTTTGACTTTACATTCGTCCCGATTGCCGTCGACTATCGGTTCCTTATTTTGTGTTTGTTTCCCTTTGCGGCGTATAGCGGCGCGGCTTTCCAGGTCTACACAGTAGCTGCACAGGGGGGGGGGGCCTCGACATGACTGTGTTCGCAAACGAAAGCAAAAATGGGTAAATCGATCGAGAATCACACATGCAGCTTCGTCATCATCGCGCAAATCTCAACCAACGACTTTCTGGGTAAGCACACGAACGATTCATACTCATGCATATCGCCTTTCTTTTGCTTGGTTGTACAACGTTCAATCCTATTCTCGGCTTCCGCATGCTGCCTGCCATCCACACGCATGCCCTTTCTGCGTTGCTAAAAAAAACACAGAATGCGCGGAACCGCTCGCTCGCTCACGCCACAAACACTCACACCCACCACAAGTTGTGTAGCCGATCTAAATGTGTATACAGGCAACACAAACCTACATTAGACTGGGTAGCACAATAGGGCGCCAGTGATAAGAGAGAGACATGACTCGCACGTGCACGCATACTTTAATTATTATTATTATTTTTTGTTGCGGGTAGCATTTGCCGTGTTTAACGGGCCACAAACGCAGTTAGCCATATGAGGCTCATGTGTCCCCTTTCCCACCCGCAACCCTACTAACGTACTAACCAACCAACTAACTAATTTACTCGTTCCCCTACTCTAGGACATCACGAGATTTCCGTTTCCCGCTCCCGCTCCCGAGCGAACATGGACACTTGTCTGACTAGCTGGCTGACGGACAGCGCCACACTAGTGTTTGCCACAGCGGCTCACGCCTGCGCGCCAATCTGCCGAGACACCGAGTGGCCATAAGCGGAAACACCGGTGGAGTGCGTATTAATAGCATAAAAAAGGCGCCGGTGGGGAGGAAGGGAGGCTTGTGGGGCCTGGTTGATGATGGCATCTGTCGACCGTGGCCCCAGTGCCTTTCTCGTTTACTTTCAATACTGACTGTACTTATGATACCGTACACCGTACCTAAGTACGACGTAGCAACGGTGGCACGGGGATTTTCGCTCTTCTTTTTTTTTTCTTTGGCGCTCTCTCTCTTTCTTTCTTTCTTTCTTTCTTTCTTTTCTCTTTTTTACCTTGTTCGTGTTCGTGTTCATCTTGTAGTCAAAGATGATCATAGACGATCAACGTCCGTCGATCAACGATCAACCATTTTGGGTTGATCCCATCCAAGACGCTAAATAGGGTAATGATTCGTCCACGTTGCCCCCCCCCCCCCGGAAGCCTCGTCTTCCACGCGAAAGGGGAAAGGGGTTTTTACGAGAAAAGAATTGAGCGAGAGAGAGTCAGACATACACACACTGAGAAAGGACGACAGACAGATAGCAAAACCGACCATCCGACAGGAACCTGGTCCTCAAGGCTCACATACACACACACATAAGCATCTTCTCAGGCACGATCCCAGCCGCCCTCTCAAGCGTTACTTTTTCTAGTCAGATTGGCTTTTTGAGCTAGCCTGCTTACCTTACTCTATCTCCAGGCCGTTGGTGGTGCATGTGTGTGTCGCGTATACACGTATACAGTTTGATGAGGTGCTCTTGAGTTTACTCGGACTTGCAACGTCCTTTGCTTGGCGCGGGGAGTCGTAGGGTGGGTGGGGTGCCGGCCACACTCACACGCAGTGCTGCATCCATGTGTGTGTGTGTGTGTGTGTGTGTCTATGTCGGACGTGGGATCAAGGGAAACCGGGTAGTCGGGTACCCGGACACGCACACACATGCGCGTCTGGCTGGTCGCGACGTCATGTCCTGCCTCACGATGAGAAGAAGCAGGTTTAGCGAGGCGGTCTTGGAACAACAGCAGAAGAATCAAACTTGTCGAGTCCGTGGCTGACGGGCTGGCTACGACTCCCTCCGTGTCACTGTATATGCGACGACGAGCCAAATAGGCTGTGTGCATATGCTAAGTACTTGCACTTGGGTAGCCCCCCCCCCCCCCCCCCCCCCCCC